AGGGTTCAGGGTTTAGGGATTGACTCAGATGAGAATAACCTTTTAAACCCTTAATCACTATTTCCCTAAGCCCGAAACCCCAAAGCCCTTGCACCTAAAACATCTCAAACACCCTAACACTAAACTATGGTAGCAATCACAGGCGCGCTCCACAGCTGGGGTTGTGGCAGAGCGGCCTCATCACAAAAAACTCTGAGGTTACAAGCCCGAAATCGAAAACAAATTCCCATGCACACAAACAACATAACAATCAACATAAGCTATTCTCATAATTTCCAACATTATACTTATTGTAATCGTTATTATTGTTAGAAACATTATTGTTATTATCATTCATATTCTTCGTCTCATTACTGGTGTTACGCTAAACCCTAAACTCTAATACCATCATCCCTAAGGGTCCAAGTACCTAATAATCATATACTCTCCCAAATAGTAACCTACATAACTACTATCCGAAACCTAAGTACCTGATTATTGGGTCCTTTGGACCCTTGGGGTCATTAGAAGCAGGTTCCTCCCTTGGTAGCTCACTGGGCCTTCTGCTCCTCGGATTGCATTTCAGACGGCGGCAGGGGTGGGGTCGGAGACGGTTTAGGGTTTAGGGTTTAGGGTTTAGGGTTTAGGGTTTAGGGTTTAGGGTTTAGGGTTTAGGGTTTAGGGTTGTAGTAGTAGTAGTAGTAGTAGTAGTAGCAGTAGTAGCCATGAGCCCTAAAGCCCTAGGCCATAACCCCTAGACCCCGAACCCAAAACCCTAAAATCCGAAGCCCTATATCAGAGCCTAAACCCTAAACCCTAAAACCCTAAACCCAGTTGGAGTCTATCGTGTCGGGCTTGGGTGTGGGTTGCTTTCGCGGGTTTGGAGTAGTTGTAATCGTTTAGGGGGTTTAGGGTTTTGGGCTTTGGGTTTAGAGTTTTGTAATTAATCTTTAGCTCCAGGGTTTTAGAGGCTTTCTCGTCGACGTGTGCGAGATGATTACTATAGGGCCTTATATTTAGGATAGGGTTTTGGGGGTATATTCTACTGTAACTGTAACTGTTAAGCAGGAAACCCCAAAACCCTCTTCTAGTTATTCAGGCCCCTACACCCTAAACCTTGATAGTAGCCCTTATAGGACCTTTCAAAGGAACCCTCAACAGGAAGCCCCCAAAACCCTATCCTAATTATTAAGGCCCCTAAGCCCTTAGCCCTTATACTACTACCCTTCATAGCAACCCTTTGAAAGGAACCCTACTCTAAAATACCCTAAAGCCCGACTCTAATTATTCAGGCCCCTACCAAGATGTGGCTTCGCATGTAGGAGTTCTAAAGAGTTCGTGGTTGAGCTTTTGAATGCCAATCCGCAGATGTTCGAAAGGTGTTTAGAGTGTCGAGTTTTAGGAGTTTAGGGTTTGGGGTTTAGAGTGTCGAGTTTTAGGGTTTAGGGTTTAGAGTGTCGAGTTTCAGGGGTGGCCTTTCATTCCAAGGCTTCTTTACAAGCTCTGATTCACCAGCAACGTGACGGTGCATGCTCTCTTTTCGCTTCTGGATTCCGAGCCAGACTGACTGATTAATATAGGGCCCTAAATACGTACCAATACCATTCTTAGGGCTTCCTCATTATACTTATCGTATAATATTCCCCCGAAGCCCTATTCAATTTCCAAGGCCCCTATATACTAGACACAGGTAATACCCGCTTTTGGAGTGAATCCTAAGTCGAACTCCAACGTCCCAAAATCCCGTATATAAGACCTGTTAGCCCCAGGACTCAGCACCCAAAGTCTCAGGGATTCGCTCAGGCTTGGCTTCCCTATAGTACATTCTTTTGCAAAACAGTATAGTGCACCCCTAAGTCCTGCTTCAAATATGAACTCAGCAGCTGAGTGGATACACTTTACATTTTTGTGGATAATATTACCTACTATAACACTGAAAGTGTACACATTTCTGTGCTTATGAACTCAGCATCTTAGTGAGGGCCCTGATTTTGGTGATAGTCGCAAGAGTTCTCCAAACTCAGAAGACCCCCCTAGGCTTCCGTGGATGTGATATCGACATCCAGAACCGGATGTACGCAGAGGGGAATCTTGCATGCAATTGGGAACCCTAATCCGTAAATCTGTATAGATAAGACCTGAACCCTAAAAACCCTAAGCCCTGAACCCCTAAACCCTAAAACCCTAAACCCCTAGACCCCTAAACCCCAAAACTCCATAAACCCTAAACCCCTAAACCCTAGACCCCTAAAGCCCTAAACCCTAAACCCCTAAACCCTAGACCCCTAAACCCTAAAACCCTAAAACCCTAAAACCCACAAGTTCCAGATCAGATCGTGCAGCTGGGGAAGTCGCGAAGTCTCAAGCTTTGGGGGGGCAAGACAGGGTACTTTAAAGGGTTTAGGGTTTAGGGTTTAGGGTTTAGGGTTTAGGGTGAAACTACAGGTGGGGAGTTTAGGGGTTTAGAGGTAAGGGGTTTGCGGGTTTAGGTTTAGGGTTTAGGGTAGGTTAAAGGAAACTGCAGGTGGGGAGTTTAGGGTATATAGGGCTTCTATAAGGCTTCCATAATGGGTTTAGGGTTTAGGGGTGTAGGGGTTTAGGGTTAAGGGGCTTAGAGATTTAGGGGTTTAAGGTTTTGTAGGACTTCTATAAGGCTTCTATAAACCACCTTCTATAAGGCTCCTACAACGGTAACTACCCACCTGAAAATGCCTTTGGGTACTTGCAGCAAGCACCAGGGGATATGGCCACCCAAAGTACTGGGCACGCTCCTCAAAGCCCTAACCTAAACCTATCACAGAAAACCCTAAACCCTAAATCCTAAACCCTAAACCCTAAACCCTAAACCCTAAACCCTAAACGATCTAAAGCTAAGCAGCTCGACCTCACATTCTTTGTCCTTGTACAGTTTGGTTCATCCCTGATGGGCCTTCTAAGATGTCCCTTTGCGGTGGGCTTACCCCGGCCACAGCGCTGGACAGCCCCAAGCCCGAAACTGTAGGGTTTATAAGGGTTTAGGGTTTAGGGTCTAGGGTTTAGGATTTCGGGTTTAG